GATTCTTGATGAATAGAAAGTTCATAAGAACATCTTTGAAACAAATCTTTTTTAGCAGTATAAATGTTTTACTGTCCCTTTTGATCAATTTAATGCATTATTGCTGAATACATTTTTTTTTCTTTTTTTTTTCTTACTGACCCCAAACTTTTGAACTGTAGTGTGATCTGATCTCACCATCATCGAGTCCATCTGAGACTACATGAAGAAACAGAAAATACTGGGACTGTAAAGAGAAAATACTGATCCTGGATGCTTTAAAAAAAAATAATGTCATAAATACATAGATTGTATTTATCAATTAACTTCTATTAACTAATTCAGTGGTTCTCAAACCTGTCCTGAAGTACCACCTGCACTGCACATTTTGTATGTCTCACTAATCTATCACACCTGAGTCAACTCATGAGCTCATTAATAGAGACTGCAAGACCTGAAATAGGGAGACAAACAAAATGTGCTGGGCTGGTGGTACTCCAGGACAGGTTTGAGAACCATTGAACTAAATCAAATCAGTATTTGGTGTGATCACCCTTCACGTTTAAAACAGCTTTTGTCCAGGTACACTTGCTGGATTATTACAATTAATGGCAAAATGAATGTTTGGAGCTATAAACTGATATTTCCTGTTGACACACTACAGCAAAAGATATAAATAACTGACTTAAAACCATTTTATTTGTGGTGAAAATACTAACGTGCCTAAGACTTTTGCACAGTACTGTGTATATATTAGTATAATTGCAAGATGTTTTTGATGTTAGCTGTTGTTTAAGTGAGGTTAACTTCTCTAAAAAGAAATATCTAAGCTATATGGCCTTTTTTGACAGTCAAAGGCTTTGAGAGAGAGATGGCTGTTGGACGGAGCGCCATCCAGTGGAGAGGACGAGGCACAGAAACAACTACAAGAGGATGAAGCCAAGACCAAACTACTGGAACAGACCATCCTCAGGTTAAGACCAGTCATTTAGCATTTTTATACCTTCCATACAAAAATCTAGCTTACATTGCTGCATCTAGTTAATGTTTACTTATACATATTTTGTTATTAATAGACTAGAACAGGAGATTGATGAGCTTGAGACTGGCGTGCCTTTGAAAAAAGGAGACCAAGGCAATGAAAATGTAAGGTTAAGTTTACTCAATATACTTTTAACTAAATTTGCATATCTGTTCAGTTTAGTTAAGGTTTTATTGCCAATGATAATACTGACTTTCTGTCATATGTCTTCTCTGCTAGGCACCTGATGGTCCAGTGAAGGGTGAGTGTCAAAATACTTTGTATATGTCAATATTTTTAGTTCTCCATCATTCTCTGTTTTCACATGGTATTACACAAAATGGAATATGATTAAAAAAGATTGCCTTGTTTCAAACAGTTATCAGTTTGTTTGCAATTATGGTGACTGTAATTTCACTGTTGTCATGTGAAAGAGCCACTGGGTCGAACAGTGAACCGGGTGAAAAGTTCAGTGAATGTTCATATTATAGGCTTATTAATAAATACTGAATAGCAGCTCCTGAAAAATAAAAACTAGTGAAGCTAAATTAATCTCGTTCTCTTTCCCCAGCAGTTGAGAATGGCATACAGCAGCCCAGTCCTAATGCAGATCAAAATAGCAAGAAACAGATCACAGGCATTGAGGCAAAGCTGCAGTGCACCAACCCTGATGTCGCCATTGAGAATGCCAGCGCAGAGCATCCCGTCACCATGGTGTTCATGGGCTACAAGAATGTAGAGGATGAGGCCGAGACCAAGAAGGCACTGGGCATAGAGGAGACAGTCAAAGCTGAATTTGTGGTCATTGAGGACGGTGAGAACAAAGGTGGAAACGAAGGGGCCAAAGAGGACCAGGCCCCACCAAACGGCAGTGCCTCCAGTCCTGACAAAGCTCAGGACGAGGCCAAGAAGGAGGAATCGAAAGAAGAGGGCAATTCAAAAGAAAAGCAGCCGTGCAAGTGCTGCACAGTCATGTGAGTGCGACCGCTCACCCTGAAGTTTAGACATTGGCGGAAAACTGACCCCCTGACCATAACGCAACAATGAATAAGTATACCCCGTATACTTATAATTAACTTTTGTTGTCTAGTATGTATTTCTTTTTTTATTTCTATTAATATTTTTCTATATGTCTGTCTTGACATTTATATATCTATATATACATATATTTTCATTATGTAATGAAGTCCAGTATTTTACTTGTTGAAGAACTGAAAAATGAGGACCACAACAGAGTTAAAAGAACATCTTTGTGGTCCTCACCCTTATTTTGTTTTAAGAAAAATAAGATGAAAGTCTCAAAATATGAGCTAGCTATTTATCTCCCGTATACATTTGTGTTTCTAAGATATTACTTTATTACTGAGAAGAAATTACTATATTGATATTACGTTATGCTTTTAATATATATTTTGTTTTTTTGTTTGTTTTTTTATTATTATTATTTTATTTTTATTGTTTTGCTAAATCATCTCAGACCACTGTGAACACTGGTACATAGAGTGTAGTCTTCGTCCACAGTCATACATTCTGCATTACACCTCACAGTAGACCAATATGTTTGTAAATATGATCCAATTATTTATGACTCTTCATGCTAGAATCATTTTGTTTAAAACAGGCTGCTGTAATTTCCCCCGGAGCCCAATTATAACCACAACAGCTATCTGCTTTAACTGTAAATCACGTTTTATAGGCCTAGTACTATTTACAAAAGGACTCATTTTAAACTCATTCTCTTTTCTACATGAAGGATAACGATATCATTATAATCAATATTAATTTTTGAAAATGTAATAACAACATTGCAATGCCTCATATTACATATATGTAGTCCATATTGTTAAAAAGCATTCTTACAGTATGTAAAATATATCTTAATATCATTTGAAAAAAATGCATTGTTTGAAGTTGAGGGTTTTTGGTGTTAAATGGGTTGCTGTAAGTTGCCCTCAATTAAACAAGAGTCCAACATGTTTCAATGTTCAGGCAGATTATTCCCAAATGAATTATTCATTGGTGTTAATTCAAGTTCAAAAGCCTGGGGTCTAAAACATGTTTCTTATTCCAAGAACAACAGCTTTGTAAATGTAGTTTTGCCGTCTTTTATAATATTTCAATTTAATGAATTATTTCATTTCCTGTAAGACCGTATGTGTTGTGGATATCAGATAATGTCATGAGTTAAAGGTGCTTTATTGATATGGCCAATGCCTGTTATGGTCCAAGTGTTTAAAACTGGAACAATGAAAATAAAACAAAACAAAACAAAAAAAGTGTTTACAGTTATCTTTTTGTAATTCTTTGGTAATTTTCTTTGATAATTTGGTATTTGTCCTCACCTACAATCAGTGAAGTCTGACACAGTTACAAATGTGAGTCATTTGGAAAACAAATTGTTTAGATTTGCCAAGGGACATGATGATGATACTATCTATTCAATACAGAGAGTTTCTGTGAAAAAAAAACTCAATCCCCTGGTTTCACAGACAGGGTTTAAGCTAGTCCCAGACTAAAAAGCATGTTATATTTTAAATGTCAGTGCCATTGTTTTGTCTCAAGATGCACACAAATAATGTTTTTTTTTTTTCTACAGTTTTTTATAAAAGCTATCTAAATGCCCTAATTGAATTACGGCCTAATCCTGGCTTAATCTAAACCCTGTCTGTGAAACCAGGGGAATACGTTCCAATATTTGCTTTGAAATTACTCTCATTGTTTTAGATGTAAAGACTTCAAATTCTGTATCAAATTCAATTCATGATTATATGATTCAACAGATATCATTTTTTAAAAATCATTTCAAAAGGACCCATATGGGCTTCAAAGTTTATAATATGTGAAGGTTGCCATCTGCAGGCTAAAATCCAGTTTGGTTACCAGTGAAGCAGCAGTTTGTTGGCTAAAATGACGCTACTCACTATAACTGTCATGTTATATTCAGAGCTGGTGTGTTGGGGGTGGGGGCGGAACATTGTCCTGGGCCCTGGTGAGGGGGCCCTACTGTGGTATGTTATGGTATAGCCTACTTATTGGGCCTGAAGAAGGGGAGGCCCACCCATTAAACTTTTTCCAAGGCACATACATTTTAGTGACAGTGCCAAGTATAGTAGCACTACACAAAGATGGTAAGTGAATGACTCAATGATTCTGACCTAAGTACATGGGTAGTAACTATAATATGGTGAATTCGGTCAGGTAAATTAGGCCACCTTTTGCAATCTCAATGACAAAAAGTGGCTTACTTTAAGGGACAGTTCACTCAAAAATGAAAACATTGTCATGATTTACTCAACCATGTGTCCTTCCAAAACAGAAAGTGTTGTACACTTTCTGAACTTTTTTCAGCGTAGCAGAAGAAAATATTTTGAAGAATATTCACCAAATGGACTTCTGTTATATGGACAAAACAAAACACTGATACATTTCTCAAAATATTTCCTTTTGTGTTCCACGGAGAATCATTTTTTGGGTGAACGATACAATGCATCGTGCATAGAACAATATTTAAAGGTGCTAGAAGTGGTCCAAGCTAATAAATACATTTTCTAAATGTATTTAAAGGTTTTCTTTTTTGTCAAAAGTTATGTTTAGATTTTTCATTTAATAACGGCTGATGTTTAACCATATAAAATCCCTTAATAATAGGCTAGCCTACTTCCAACTCAAGACTGTGCCTGTTCCACCATCTTTAGTTTCTTCCGATATTATTATAATCCTACTGTTCTTAGCCTATTTTAGCAATGCGTCTGGTAAAACTGTTTTGCCCTTTGACTGAACACTGAACTGCTTCGTCCTTTTCGTTGCTGATAATGGTGGGTTCAAGCACAGTTCACTCTTCAACTTCATTTTTCATGGTGGCAACAGGGAAAAGTTTTCGCAAACTTTTTTCAACCGCCTTTCCAGATTGACAGCTCTTCTGTCCAATCCCGCTATCCAAGGACACGTGAGGTCCCGCCCACACTCGGCTCTCCAGAGTCGATTGACTAATCAGAGAGCGACAATCCCTCCTCCGCCATTTTGTAAGGATATAAGATATACTAGTAGGTCTACCTCCCGTCTACGACAACCTGTAGTTTTGTGTAGTGCCATGGACGGGTAAGTTGAAAACATCTTCATTCCAATTCTGTAACCCCTTAAACACGTTTGTTTCGTTGGATGTTTGATTCGTTAATACATTATGCACGTTTAAAATGTTAAATGACGTAAAGTGAAGTGGAAATGGTGATTTTTGACTCGTCTCTGCCGCTCTTAATGTCTCCCGAGCCGGAAGAGCCCAAAAGTTGGACCAAACTGACCAACAACCTGTTGCAAGTAGTCTAGATGAGACAGCTTTATGAAACAATAGCGAACTTAAGCTGCAGTATTTCTTTAACCTAACTGGCAGGACCAAAATGTCAAATAGACCTTGTAACGCACAGAAGAGACCGAACAGCCACTATTCGGCAACCAACGTGTCTCAGTTTCCGCATTGTTGTTGGGTGGCTAATGTTAGCTAATTACCTGCTAGCCTGCTAAACCGATACCAGTTAAACTTTATTGTAGCTTCACTCGTTTGTATGTTCGATGCACGTTAATTTTTTTCAATCAGTACTAAGAAAGTTTGATACACGTACAATGGTCCGATTACAGTAACAGGTTTCGATAATGACGCGTTGAAGATATCAGCTGCGTTTACACTGGCACAAATACGCATTTTTTAGTCCCATTTGACACAGATCCGAAATTGGTGTAAAAAATGAAAACGCATAAATCCCAAAGAGATCCTTTTTTGCACCCGTTCAGAGCCACTTCCAAATGTGTTTTTAATCCCATATCTGGACATTTGACTAACGTCTAAACTCAAATATTCGATTTCCATTGGAATTCCAAGCCACAACAATGCGAGTTCGACACGTTTGCCCACAAAGATGGCTTTTTAAAATGTCGTATTATGAGGCAGACTTTCCTGTATGAGCTCGCACTATTGAGGTGGAAAATTCATAAGAGTGTGCACATATAAACATTCAGGAGCACAGAAACGTGTTTTCAGCCTCTGCCCCTTGAATTACTTTAATAAAATATGTTAGCTTCTCTACTGAAAGCTGCATTATATTTCTCAGTAACAAGGTGATAACTTGGCTGTTTTTGTAATTAAACTCACAGCTTCACAATTAGCCTACATTGAGGCGCTGTAGAGAACCCAGGTATCTTCATCAGATGCATTCATCTTCATCAGACTTTATTGCTGACTCAAGGTCCAAAAACAAAACCCAGATAAAACAAGAACATAAGTTCAATGCATTACAAAAAATACAATAATACCAGTTTATCCACAACTTAGACTAATGTGTAGTACTGACCCTTATATTTGAGAAGCCCACAATAATCTCAATAAAATTAAATTTTTTTTATAACATTGTAACAATTATACATAAGATTTCATAACACAGTGACAGCTTGGAAAGTATTAACTCCTGCACTCAAACATTTCGCTTGCACAATGCCATCTAGGTCTCCTTAACAGAATTCTCATTGCATCATTATAAACTACTTGAAGCCTCTGCAAACTTGCTTTTCTATAATTTGACCACAAATGAGCAGTATAAAGTGGTGTACAATATGCTTTAAACAATGACATCTTCTCTTCATCTGATCAAGAACTAAACTTGCATAGAAGTATGTTAGCCTGCATACATCATATGACGCTGCCTTTCAATCCCATTGACTTGTCTGTCATGGGCTCAGAAATAAAATGTCCAAGATATTTTACTTTCACTCACACCGTAAGATCTCTCTCGCTCGTTCATTTATTTGAATTAGATTTAAACGGTCCATAGATAAAATAACAAATTAAAACTACCGTTATTTTTCGTTATATATCCGTTCGGTCAAATTGTGGGCCGAAAAAATCCATAACCACTTTTAACTTATCTGTGCTGGCAAATGGGCTAATCAATCACGATACCACCCGACGTGAGTTATAAATTAATTATAATACCACAGCCATTCAAAATCTGAGGATCAACCCTGTAGCATAGTAAATATTTAAGTGTAAATTTAATGTGTTCAAACAGATATTGGATACCAGTCGTGTCTAAAGTGAATATAAATGGGTGGGACAAAAATCTGATATGGTCAAAAGGTCAGATCTGTGCATAAAAGACTTGCAGTGTAACAAGTTTCATTGTTCAGAACTGATCGTCAAGGTTGGAACATGTAACGTTTTATTTACGTATTGGTAAAGTATAATAAAAAAAATTATAGGCTATTTAGGCCTATGTTTTGAACTGAATCATTTGCATGAGAATGCTTATTATAAATTTGCACATTATTTCCACAAGGGATATTTCACCCTTAACAATTTGGAACAAGTACAAATGAAAGAATTTAAAATTAAGACTTTATTTCATTCAGTAGAATAGATTTAGGCAGACAATAGATTTTAGGCAGAATGACAGCCTACAATGGTAGTGAATGCTGACCAAGACCTTTCATTCAGCCTAATCTCCTTGTGAGAAGCAACTTGCAGGTTTAAAACATGATAGTGAATGAATGACAAAATATTGACACAAAATCCTGTTTTTGTCTTCTGCAGCCGGTTAGAGACTGATCTGTATCCTCTGGGATCCGGTTACGTCACTGAAATAGAGTAAGTTTTGCATCTCTTTGCATTTAAGTACAAACAGGACTGGTTTTACAGCATTATCAACTGAATCTACCTAAACTAAAGAATTCAAGAAATGTTCTCAAGAGAAGTGTGGAACTGATTGATACCGTTGTTGAGTGGCGTGAAGAGTGGCTTAACAGGCATGCTTTGTTTTACTGTTTGCTTTTATATCAGGTTGCATCCTAGAAGGTGTGCCTGAATTGCAACTCTTGTTTTGTACAACGGCAGTCTGTAGTTCCTGCTGGGCCTGTTTGTATGACATTTGTGTACCAATCAGAAATGACATTTTCTGTACACCTATTATACTAAAGCCCTGTTCACACAGAATGACACTTTTTAAAATGATGCCAAGTCACTGTATCTGGCAACAGGCCCATGTCTGCACTCACATTGGTAGTTTCTTAGGGGTGTGACGAGATCTCGTGCCACGAGATGTCGCGAGACTAAATATGACGAGATTTCTCGTCGAGTGAAAAAGCTGTCTCGCGATAAACCCCATGAATATTCCACCGCTACACTCACATTCGCCTAAACTATCGTTTTGTTGTTTTTATAAAAAAATAAAAACCATTATAAACTAATGCAAAAGTCTGCTCTGCTCATCCAGCACGAGTTGCCGTTGCAATCAGTGCAGCACGAATCACAGTTCACTGATCGCGTGAGGATGGCGGAGGATTCGTTGCGCAACAGACTAAACGTCTGGTAAATGTCTTATCATTTAGAATGCGCGCTCAGCACCGCTGCTCCCTATACGCGCGGTCACGAATTTGTAAGTGAAAGTAAAACTCAAGCTCCCTGATGTGCATTGCGCACAAATTAGGCTGCATACATAAAATAATCCGTCTCCCAATACCCATCTCTGGACTGTTTATTTGCGGCTCTGGTCTCTGTTGGCACTGCGAATATTGAGAGAGCACTGTAACGTACAAAGGACAACAGACAAGGGAGGCTCCGTTTCTGAACTTATAATCGGAACGCAAGAACAACTGTAGAGACAAACAGCCTCGTTTCTCTCGGCCTTTTCCGAACTCACCGCATTAACCCTATAACTGCCGGTCCAAAATAAAACCGCAATTTCACAACAATTATAAAGAGTCTGTGTGCTTATGGTTGCACTCGCACTTATTGTTTGCACTTAATAAGACTAAGAGAAAACAGTTATTTATTTTTGTTATTTATACTGTTTTTATTTCTCTGTTAAATGTATGTAAAGGAGTTCAGTTAGGAGGTCACACACAGCCTCAATCAGAAGTTCTGAAAGCTCTTAAATGTACAGTAAGGTCTGAAGAGACTAATGTGAAATTATACAGGAGAAAAGCCAGTCAATAAAAACCTTTTACAGTGCTTGAATATTGTTTTCTTTCAATGCATTTGATAATTCATACTCATAAAGTAGACCTGAAATGACATGCATTAGAAGATTATAAGTTAAAACATTGAAAAATGCACCTGCATACTATTTTTCCAGTCATGAATTTTGTCATTGAGGATTTCTGAAAAATTGTGCAGAAATCTCGTCTCGTCTCGTTCTCGTGAACCCAATCTCGTGTCTCGTCTCGTCTCGTGAGATAAGCGTCTCGTCACACCCCTATAGTTTCTGCATTGTTACTGTTTATTTGCATGAACTTGAGCTCTTAACAGACATACATTTTCAGTGAGTTGCAGAATTTATTGGCAACGCACGGTGACTTGGTGAAATAAACTAATGCAATGAAGAAAATTATTACAATGAAAATTCATCCCATCTATTTTCTAAATTCATGTTATAGATCTTTAATCCATACATATTTTTTTTATTATTAAATAAGTCATAACTTAATATTCCGGTGAAATGACAGACTTCTGTTATAGCAAACATACTTTAAGTATTGCATAGCCCCATCTGTTGTTGAATTTATCAAATGTGATTGAGCCTCTGATTTCTAATTTCTGTTTAATGATTTTTTTTTATTTTATAGCAGTGTCCATGATCTAACGGTCGGCACAAAGGTATGTCTTAATTTTTATTTTATTTTTTACTTTTTATAAAAGTGACCATCTCTGACTTGCAAATGTGTAAAGTTGGTTTCCCTGTTTGGTTGCTGTGGGTGTTTATTAACAATATTAGTTTGGGTTGTATGTCTGATTTTATATGTTGTGCGTTCCTCCTTTTTGTTTTCCGCATTGCTGAGACTGAGGGAACTTCTCTAAATTGCTGAGTCTGTAATTCTTCTCGCATCTGCATCTGATCCTTCAACTGTAATTATTCTGGTCAAAGGGCACCTGCTGTTTAAACAATCACTGTATCTGACCCAAAGGTGAAAGAAGTAGCCTACACTCAAATCTTGATGTTCTGTAGGCAATTCAGAAAAGTCGACCTGGAGGATTTAGTTTCTACTTTTTATATTTTGCTACTTAAGATTTTGCAAAATAGTTGCATCGTACAGTTATTTGTTTACAATATTGCTCTCTTCACACTCATTTGGATGTTTGTACATGGAGACTGCCTGCTGTTGTTTCCCCTGATGTCTTTCACACATGTGAGGAGTAAAGATGTAGATGAAGTCGGAGTCTGGGCACTAATTACTGTGGCTGGAATGCTGTGCTTGCATTCCTGTCTCCCTGACCTCCTTATTCAACACAGACTGTGCTCTCACCCTGAAGGCTTGCACTTTGTCAATGGATGTAAACATGTTGGCACCTGCAAATCTTAAGCTCCTAGAGACCAGTGGGAGTCATGGTTCTCGGCTTCTTTTTTCCTTTCCTAAGCGAGCACTCAAGCTGCAATGCCCTGCAGTTAAAAATAGAGGAAGGAAATGCTGTAGTTGGGTGGATGTCTGGCCCGAAAACAATGGATGGTTCAACCAGAGAAGGCTTTCCTGTCATAACTGTTTTATAAAAGTGATGTTGAAACCTGACTCCTGCAGGATTTAGCTGGGAGGAATGTGTCGTCGTTGTCTTTTTTTTTCTTTTTTTCTCTTTAAGGAAATGCTGTGCCACGTAAATGGTATTAAGTTATTTTTCCCTTCTCTGCAATGTTATTGACTGTTTACTGTAGGCTGCTTATTGAGCCTTTGGGCTGTATTTAAGGTAAACATTTATCCAGGGTGTGGTAAAGTGCTCTTGAGGCTGTAGTAGACCATAGGGGAAAAATCAGCCCGTGGACCAGGCGTTCAGCTTTGTTAACAATACTTTCTTTTGGGCTGGAACAGAACACGCATTGTGGTAATGGAGTGTAAAGGCTTTGGCTTATCCAGCGCATGTGACCACTTCAGCAGAGACTTGCCATTTGAAGTGGTTTATTAAGAGAGTGATGCTGAATGATTTGCTCATTGCTCCATTGGCCAGCCAAGTGGCTCCAGCTTGGCCTTGAGTGAGAGACTTTGTGTTAGTGTTATGGCAGGACACAGCTGCCTCTGTTTACATTTCTCTCTTTCTTTGTTCTGTTTTTACCAGCAGTAAACAGTGTAGTGATCTCTTGTGTTTAGATGCCTATGTCGTAGTAATTGTAACCATTAGGCAATGAGTTTTTTTTTTGTTTTTGTTTTTTTGTCATTTTGGAAATTTTCCAATTGGATCATATTAATTAATCAGACTGGTTTGGCGCATGTTTATGCCTATCACATGAGTTGGTTTCTATAGGTTAATACTATGTCAGATGACAATTTGTTACCTTTTTGTCGTTAATGCACTGATGTAGCTGATTCACATCTTGTCACAGTGTTTAGTGTCTTCTGGTTTGGTGGTTTGAGTGTCCTATTTTGCAAACCTTATAAATGTGTCCTGTTTAATGAATCACTTCCCTTCTCTTTTCAGAGGGGATCTGACGAACTCTTTTCCTCCTGCATACCTAGCGGACCTTATATAATGAGCTCTGGAGCAGGTAGGCATTTATGGCTGGGGGTTTATACACTACTTTTCAAAAGCTTTGGGTCAAAAGCTTTTTTTTTTTTTAATGCAAAAGATTATCAAATAAATTCTGTTAAATTATAGCCTGGCAGTATATTTTAAATATTATATCCAACTTTACCTGCATACATAGTACATTAATCCAAGGTAATGTATGCTATATAGTAAATCTCGGCTGTTTATAATGCTACAAAATAGGGCTGGATGATTAATCGAAAAATAAACGAAACCGAAATCCAGAGCCTATAACCAACGTGAATTTACCATGTCGGTTATTTCGTTTTTTTTAATCCTATTAATATTTCCGCCCACTGTGTGTTAATGTACTTTCCCCTTAAAACATATTACCGCGTGTGTAGTCACGTAACTTCGCCCCCGTCCAGTCTGCGACATTGAAGCAACATGAGCCCCTTTCACACAGCGCGTTGATCCCGGGAAATTGCCAGAACAAACACCTTCTATGTGAACGCAAACACGACCCGGGATTGATGCCAGGTTGGGTAACATTGCCGTGTTCAGTCCCGGAACGCGCGCTGTGTGAACAAAAGCCGTAATCAATGCCGTGTCGTAATGATGGCGCTTAAGCCGGGATCGTTCGCCAGCGTGAAAAGGTACGTAATGCGCTAGTTTATGATCGAATCAGAGGAAAAAAAATGCACAAGCGTGGTTTCTCGAGAGAGAAATCGCAGCTCATAAGCAAACTATAGACGCCGCTGAGACATGTCACGTGTCTTTGCGGGTTGTGTGTGAACGCACTCTCTGAATCCAGAAAATCACTGGCAGCGTGAATTAACCAAAGTCAAACGAACCCGGGTCACTTTATCCGTGTATTTTCCGGAATCTCTGTGTGAAAGGGAACTCAAACACTGAGTCAACTCAGCAACAGGAGCCGCTTGTAGCTACCAAAGAAACATGGGAAAAAAGAGAGAGACTGACAAACGCCCAGCAACAAGTGCCTCCACTCCACAAAGCAGGTTTCGATATCACAAGTAGTGTTGCACGGTGCACCGATACTTCAAAAGTATCGCGATACTCGGAAATTAAAAACTTCCCGATACCTACATTTATTAGTATCGATACTTCTAAGAATGACCGCGTTCCAGATTTGTAAGAGTATTGCATGTTGGTGTGTGCAACGCACGCTTCCAGTGCCTCCCTATGGACATCTGTGTTTTTCTCCTCATGCGCGTGTGACAGGGCGTGTGAACTGAACGAGCGCAGTGAGAGAGAGAGCCAGAGAGAGAGCCCCGGTCGCTGCGTAGCCAGGCGAAAGTATAAACAAGGCTTCACCGTCTCTAAACTAAGCTCTCTCTCTCTCTCTCTCTCTCTCTCTCTCTCTCTCTCTCTCTCTCTCTCTCTCTCTCTCTCTCTCTCTCTCTCTCTCTCTCTCTCTCTCTCTCTCTCTCTCTCTCTCTCTCTCTCTCTCTCTCTCTCTCTCTCTCTCTCTCTCTCTCTCTCTCTCTCTCTCTCTCTCTCTCTCTCTCTCTCTCTCTCTCTCTCTCTCTCTCTCTCTCTCTCTCTCTCTCTCTCTCTCTCTCTTTCATGTGGAGCATTCGGAGTGTTTTTTTTTTTTTTTTTTTTTGAATTACCGCTAGGAGTAAATTGTGGTAAAATACGTTGCCTTATCTTCTCTGAAAAGCGTTCCGCACATTCAGCTGACACAAACCACACTTTAAATAAACGAAAAAAACTATCCAGTCATGATATGTTTTCTGTGATGACTCAAATCTTGTGGGATGTCCTAACCGCCGGGATAATCACACAACGCGCACACGTCCGATAATGACACATCCAATTCGCGAACTAATGACTCATTTGAACCCATTCATTTTAATGAATGGTTAAAACAACTGATCTGTCTGAATCGGTGTATAACTAATCGCTAACACTTTGTAATAAGGTTTCATAAATTACATAAAAAGTAGGCTACAGTTTGCTTACTCAAGTGTAAGTTTTTAAAACAAATAACCCCCCCCCCCTGACTACTTTTTTCCACACAGTGCTATCAGGAATCGATAAGAGAATCGTTAAAGAATCGGATCGATAAGCAGAATCGTCAGTGGCATTGATATTGATAAAATCTTATGTTTCTTATGATAACTGAGATAATGCTGCTATATTCATTTATTTTTTTACCTTGAATGTCATTGCTCTAATTTATTTTTTATATTTTTCATATTTCATATTTTGTTCAAATGGTTAATATAGCCTATATGCTGTTCATATGTTCATTTATTAGTGTGTTATATGATTAGAATGTTGTCCCAGTTTTAAAATAAAGCACAGCAATGATATTTGAGTGTTTCTCCCTTTTCAGGAAAAGTATCGAAAAAGTATCGAAATCGCAATTCTTGACTTGGTATTGGTATCGAAACAATAATTTTGGTATCGTGACAACACTAATCACAAGCATTTACAAATGCTACACAATATGAAAAGGATTACTTTTTTAGTTTTATACAAGTTATATTTTACTTTTAAGATGGCAATATTTACAATAATTTATTTTGTTTACAAAAAGAACTGTTTTCTACATTTTTAGGAAGCTTTATTTTTACATTATAACTTAAAGACCCACTCCGATGAAAATAATGTTTTTCTAGGTGTTAACATGTTCTTGTGGCATTTTTCTGATGTTAGAGGACATATCTTGAGAAAAATCAGCTCAAAGTTGTATTTCTGAGTATTTCTACATTCAAATGGCTGTGAATCAGTAGCAGACGCTAAAATGCTGGCTAAAATCGACTGGAGTTGTGACGTAGTAACTCCACTGGGCGTCTCCACACGCGACGTCTTGGAGTGAAATAATGATCGGTGATCGGTGATAACTTTGATTAACTTCGGATAATAATAATTAACGTGTATATAATACTGTTGCCCCACCGGTATTGGGGGTGTAAGCTAGCGGGAGAGACAGAGCTCTCAGCAACGGGCAGGGGGAGGGTCGTCTCCGTGCCAACGGCTCCACCCACAACGCAGAGGCGAATTGCTAATGAGCTACTGCCGCTCTGCTGAAGCGAAGTCCCAGAAAACGGCACAGGTTTTGTGATTTTGGCTAAAAATGGCATAATCATAATTTAAAGACCACTGGGAATGTTTAAAAATAGCTCAAAATATGATCGGAGTGGGACTTTAATGACTTTTTTATAAGACGTTTTTATTTCAAGCATTGTATGCTTTGTTTGATTCAATTGTTTGAAATATTTAATAAATAAGCATTAAAAGCTATCTGTGTGTTCCTTATTTTAGAATCACAAAGATAGGATTATGCACTTTCATTAGAAAAAATAACCGTGAACATATTTACAGTACAAGCCTTGCCAGTGACATGAGAAAGAAAAAAAATTAAATGCAGCCTTGATGAACATAAGAGACTTATTTCAAAAACATTAAAACAAATCTTATTGACCTCAAACCTTTGAAAGTTAATGTACATTGTGTATTTGGATTCTTAAGTATGAAATTAAATTGAGATGCATTCTTTTTGTCAGCAAATGGTAATGACAGCAAGAAGTTCAAAGGGGACATCAGGAGCCCTGGCATTCCTTCAAGAGTGATACATGTACGCAAACTGCCAAATGACATAAACGAAGCAGAAGTCATTTCTTTGGGGCTTCCCTTTGGAAAAGTGACTAACCTTCTGATGCTGAAAGGAAAGAACCAGGTAAAGATCACTGCTGCCTTTCATTTCCCTCAAAATGAAATTATACCCCGCTTTGAATGTACATCATCGGGCCTTTCCTTATTGTGTTCTCTCCTCACAGGCCTTCCTGGAGATGAACACAGAGGAGTCAGCACAGACCATGGTCAGCTACTACTCCTCTGTCACCCCTGTCATCCGCAACCATCCGATCTACATGCAGTATTCCAATCACAAGGAACTGAAGACTGACAACTCACCCAACCAAGTTGTTAGTACAAATGACATTTAATCAAGGGTAATTACTCAATTTAAATAACTCTTTCAAGAATGATAATGCATACTTGTGCCCTGCCCCCTCCATTCCCATAGAGAGCACAGGCAGCACTGCAGGCTGTGAATGCGGTCCAGACAGGAAGCATGTCTTTGAGCGCTGTTGATGGAGCAGGTATGGGCAGCCAGAGCCCTGTGCTGAGAGTTATCGTTGAAAACCTCTTCTACCCAGTTACTCTTGATGTCCTTCACCAGGTAATGACTGTCCTTCAAATTAAATCGAAACATTTATTTACAGTCATTAAGTAATTTTATTATTAAATAATATTGCTATTATTATTCCATTACTTATTACCCCACCCTCCCAGATCTTCTCAAAGTTTGGGACTGTTTTGAAGATCATAACATTTACCAAAAACAACCAGTTCCAAGCACTGGTTCAGTACTCAGATGGAATGACTGCACAGCATGCAAAGCTGGTGAGTGGCATAGTGGATCAATATATGGATGAATGGACAGCTAAATCCCTTCTGAACCATGTAATCATTTGGCTTAACATTCAACAGTCTTTGGATGGACAGAACATCTACAATGCCTGCTGTACCCTTCGCATCAGTTTTTCTAAGCTCACCAGCTTGAATGTTAAGTACAACAACGATAAGAGCAGAGACTACACTCGTCCTGACCTACCTACAGGAGACAGTCAGCCCTCCCTCGATGCACAGACAATGGCTGCAGCTGCCTTGTGTAAAACTTAATCTACTTTTTTTCTTTTTTTACTGCTGTTAATAAATGGCATTTTCAACATGCATATCACAAACTGCTTCTTTTTTTTTTTTCAGCTGCTCCTGGTATCATCTCTGCATCGCCATATGGGGCTCATGGTTTCCCACCAACATTTACCATTCAGCAGGCAGCAGGTCAGTCATAGCCCTCATAATAACTTTGTAGATTGCTTTAGCACAGTTTCCCAGCATAGCATCCATGCTGTGTAGTGATGGCTGTCCTTCCCACAGGTCTGTCACTGCAGGGCATGCCTTCCGGGGCTCTCGCATCGCTCGGTATCCACGGTGCTGCGGCAGCCGCCGCCGCTGCTGCTGGACGCATGAGTTTTTCCAGTCTCACTGCGGGAGGAAACAGTGTCCTGCTAGTCAGCAACCTTAATCCTGAGGTTAGTGCCGTTTTGAATAGTTTAGATTCACTTAGCCTTTAGTTCATTAGCTTAAGGTTCTTGTTTCAACAAGCTATAATCCATTTGGTTGGTAGAACTGTAAAAATAGATAAATGTTAGATGGCAAATGGTGATGAATTAACCAAATACTTCATATGTGTAGCTCTTCAAACTATGTAATATGTGTTTATGACTGTGGAGGCTCATTTGACTACTGTACAAACATGCATGTCAACCATTTCTTAATATTTGTTGACCCTTGTCTGAAGCCATCTGAAACATTTCATTTCTAGTATTCCTTTAGAGCTATGAATATATATTGTCTCTATCTTTCCTGTATTTCATTGTTAATCTTCTCTCCTTTCTTTATTTATTGCCTTAGTATTCCTATAGTGAAAAGCATTTTAATTTAGCAAGTTCTGCTGACTGGAACACTACATTTTTCTTTGTGTATACTGACCTTGTTTTTTACTTCCTTTTTCTTGTTTCTCTCCCTCCCCATTCCCCTTCCCCCTTTTATTATTTTAATACTTTGACCTGGAATCTTTTGCCAACTGACTGCACCACTTTTATTTTTTGTAATTTAAACTCCCTACCCACCCAAACAATATGATTCCCTGTTCACACCAATACTGGATACATAAACAATTGTTTTTTCTACTGTGCAACCTACCAACACACAACAACATCCCTACACTACATTGTCGGATATCCTCCTTTACTTCTACCCTTCCCCCACCTTTCCATCATGAACAATATCACCCACCTTCATGATCCTACCACCGTTTTTCGCCATTCCTGTGGAACTGCCTCGCTGTGGACATGTTCAACCTCCACTGTCCTGCCTCCGATCTTTTCCTGTCCCTTCCTCCCTACGCTGCCTTCCTCTGCTGTCTTAAGAGCGTTACGCCCCAATGCCTCTTTATTCTTTTCGGTATGTTATCATTGGCATCTCCTTTTTATTACCTTTTTGTTTTTCATATTTTAACTTCATCTAAGATGTGTACTTTGGTTTGTATATGTGACATGTGGAGTTTTAAAGAATTTTTGGGCTCCTTCATTTGGCGGATGCTAAATATCTAATTCAAATGGCTAAATTGTTAAATATTGTGGTCATAACTGTTGTGTAGTTTAGACTGATCTTAGCCACATGACTCTACAGTCAATTTGAGAGCCAACTTTGTAGCAACTCGTTGCTTATTTTAAATGCCATACCCTCTCAATAAGCCATATTTAATAATCTTTAGGAAGTTGTATGTTTAATCAAAGGTTAACGAGCAAATTACCCGCAGTACTAAACGTAATATTAAACCAATCAAGATTACTTTGAGTAAATCTTTCCAAAAGCGACATACTCTGTGTTTGTTGTGAAGTAATTATACATTCATACATGTAGAAAGCCGGGTCCAGTAGTGATGGGTCACCATAGAAATGTAGTCTGTTTGCACTAGTAATGCATGCCTTACTTGGCTATAAAATTACTTCATTATATAGATATTTCATTGAAACATTGAGTGTTTGGTTGAGAAAATGGTAATCAATTGTCCTGTCATACAGTAGTCACGTCCTTATGTAGCTACTGCTATCTTTTGTTAGGTGTGTATGGTGACGTCATGAGAGTGAAGATCCTGTTCAACAAGAAGGAAAATGCATTGGTGCAGATGTCTGATGGAACCCAAGCCCAGCTAGGTATTTATAAAGGTCTTTAACTTTTTAACAACTTTCCTAAGAAGCAACACCAACCTCTCTTGCCCTTTTTAGCCATGAGCCACTTGAACGGGCAGAAACTGTACGGTAAGGCTTTGCGGGCCACTCTTTCCAAACACACCACGGTACAGTTGCCACGTGAAGGCCATGAGGATCAGGGGCTCACCAAGGACTACAGCAACTCTCCTCTTCACCGCTTCAAAAAGCCAGGCTCCAAGAACTACTCCAACATCTTCCCTCCTTCCTCTACTCTCCATCTCTCCAACATCCCGTGAGTCCACCAAACGAACACCTGTCAGTAACACATCTGTTTGGCTTCTTTAGTGCTGCTTTATTCAATGTCAATTTTTTTTTCTCTTGACTTCTTAGTCCTGCTGTCACTGAGGATGATCTCAGAGGATTGTTTCTAAGTTCTGGAGCTGTGGTTAAGGCCTTCAAGTTTTTCCAGTAAGACATTTTACAGATTTGATTTCTACAGATTGTCATGATATTTCCTGGAAGTTTTAAAATATTGTGTTAATCCTTTCAGGAAAGATCGTAAAATGGCTCTCATCCAATTGGGCTCTGTGGAGGAAGCAATTGAGTCTCTGATCAAATTTCACAATCATGACCTGGGAGAGAACCATCACCTCAGAGTGTCATTCTCCAAGTCCACCATCTGATGGAGGCTGTTTTGTTTTAAAGAGGTTGAAAGGACTGTCACTTTAGACCAAACTGTAAGCCTTCCACAATTTATATCACTGTGGACAAATGTGTTCCACAACACACACTTGATCATTCCTTTAATTATATCTATATTCACACATGTATGTCTATTTTGTAATTCCACTTTAAACTAGTAGACAAGAGGAACTCTTCAACCCAATGTGACTTGGGTTTTAATAGTACGTTTTCTCAGACGGTTTGTTTCATGACTTAGTTCATTGTTGGCACACATCGGTTTTGGATCATAGATGCTGCATAGTTTACACTTGTGCCTCTGCGGAAAGCCGCACCCCTTCAGGTTGCACATCTAAAGCCTTGTTTCGTTTGTTGAACCTGTAATTAACCTTTTCGAACTTATTCCCTATTTGCCTTTCCAAAAAAAGCAACTGTGCCTTACATGGTGCTTAAAGTTTATCTTCTTAATGGCCTTAGTAATATTTTGACGTTTTTGGCTTCTTTACAGGAACCATTAACCTCAAACCTAAAAAAAAAAAAAACACCTGCCTGCTGTTCCTAGGTGGTCCCCGTTTAAATTTGACTAGTGAAAACGGGAATGTTTTCCTGCAAAATGTTTTCTGGTAAATTACTTTAGTTTAGTTTATTAACAGGCTTTGGTTTTGTACCTGACTGTCACAGCTTATTTTGCATAGTTATTCTAATGTGGACCTTTTCCTTATGTACCGTATGTAAGATATTCTATAATCTATAGTTTTATTCCTTTTTTTTATTGTAGTCACACGCATACTTCCTTACTGTCATCTATTTGGGCTTTATCCCACTGGGTTCTCTGTGCCTAGACTGTTATATTCTCAGTCTAGTTGGGGGAAACGCTTTATAATTTCCCGATTTTACCCCATTGCCTTGCTGCTTATGGGTTTTGTCAATTATGAAACCGCTTGGAACCAAACCAGAGTTCACTGATTTTTACATAATTTTTGATTACTCTGCGTGTGGCAAAATAAGTCAGATTAGTTTTTCTGTTATCTAGTTCACAAGTGTTTTAATGAACGTAAATTTCGACCTTCAAAAACACTTTTTTTTTTTTTGAGGGGGTCTCTTACTGTCACTTGCCATTTATGTTCAAGAAAATGTAACATTACAGAGTCTTAAGTTCGTATGTGGCATTTGTGTGAACCGAGACACCTGTGACAAGACTTCGGATTGTTTTTGGCACTTCTGTGTTGGTGGGGTGGGGGAGGGGTGGGAAACATTAAGGCCACGGTCTTTTCGAAACATCCATTTCATGTTTGTGGCAGAAGTCCTAATGCTCAGACATTCCCTTTTACCTTTGAGCTTGTACTTGTAATCTTTCCATTTCAGTTAAAATTTTTTTTTTTTGCCTTTGCAATTAATATTTGCTTGGGTGGGTATTTTTCTTTTTTTTTTCTTTTTTGAAGAGTAGCATGATGGACCAAAGCATCTTCCCTGTACTGCGAGACAGTTTTTGATATTTCTTATTGAAGTGTATCTTACTGTGCAGCAATATTCTGTTTCATTGACTGCTTTGATTTCAGAGAGCAGAGGCAAAAAGTTTAGAGGCCTTATCTTTATATTATTGCCTTTTGTTTACAAGACCTTAAAAGAAAATATTACAAATTACACAAGACATTGTGGGCTTTTTTTGGCCTAAAGCATGGATCAAAACATTATTTCTGTTGTCAGAACAGAACCAAACAAAAGTCTTAAAGTAGCGCCTGAGCTCCTTTCTATTGTGTTATATAGATACTACTTTCTATTGCGTATAATAGTTATACTTGTTTTTCCCACTATGGATGTAATGTTGAGAAACAGAATGGGTGAGGGCTACTGTATATATATATTTTTTTTTTTTTTTTGTACCAGTATATGAAAATCAGCATCATTTCTGTGTCAAACATGTATATTTTGATAAGGTAATAGCAGACATTCAGCTCATTGTAGAGCCTTCCTTTTTTATTACACAATATTAAAGAGATTCCAACACGTGTCAGAACATGTAATTGCCCTCTTGAAAGCATAACCTTCTTTTGATATAGATGCTCATACTTTTTCTGTCTTCAATAAATCTTTCTGTTTCTTGCTTTCATCTTTGTCTTTTTTAATTTCTGAAATTATTAAACATCTTGATCTTTTCACGTTCTACATCTGTTTGCTCTGTCAGTCATGTGGTTAACAATCTCTCTTTTCAACCTTCCTGCATTTGGGAGACCTCTAATGACTCACTGGTTTCACTAACTTGTTTCCTACCATCTGTTGGCTGTTAGAGGATATAGAACGAGAAATCACTTGAGTGTATAAATTCACTTTAATTTTGATGGGAAGCTATTGAATTCTTGGAGTTGCTTCAAGTGGCTCAATTAAAATATTTTTTTATGATTGTGATGTTCAAAATGAGTTTGTGTATAGAATAGCTGGAGATACAATCTGCCGTCTAGACTGAAATATGACAATTCCCCCCTGTATAGACCTTTTTCAGAGTAGTGCCATGACAGTTATGAAAGCGAGGCTGTGAGGGATGGACTTCCCGTGCTTTCAATATCATCCATTTCTTGGAAAGATATTTTTGCAGCGTTTCATCAGCAGAACAATCCAAAAACACATTATCAGTGCAACCCACTGAAAGCTGGCGCTGCTGTGAATAAGGTCTATTACTGCTTTGCTAATTTAGCGGCTTTTCTCTGCCATTATCAGTAGTAAATGTTTTTTGCTACGTCTTATTTGTTTACAATATTACTGATATTACAATATTACTTACTGATTTTGCATATTTGGATGCATTAAGAGCCATATGCCAATGTACTTTAAAAGTTTATAGAGAGCCCAATAGCTCTGTATTTTTATATGTATTTTATCTGATTTCTGTACAGTATGTGAAAAGTCTCTCTCGACTTAATGTTATATTCTGCTTCTCGTACAGCAGGTGGCGCACTAGTGTAAGATTTAAAAGTGGGTCATTCCTACATTTTGGTCCCGTTTAGACATTGATACTTGTGGAAAATCCGTTTTTTTTAATATATATATATTCATGGAATGTTTTAAAAGTCGTATAGGCCCAGAACAATAATTTATTAAGTTTAACCAGCTGTTTAATACATTAAATTTAGGAGGGTTGTGGCATTTAAAAAAAAAAGTTTAGCCGACATGTAATTTTGAGGTCACATGATTAGACAAGGGTTGTGTTCTGATAAAATAGTCTCACTTTAGCATCTTTCTTTCGTACAGCTTTTTAATTTTTTTCTCTACAAATCTTTTTTTGTTGCCAATCTGCCTATCTCTCCCATCTCCTTCTCGTTTTCTAAAAGTATTGCCTCCTCTCCTCAGAGTCAGAATCCTTGGTATGCATCTGCTGTACATCCCTGCAATCAAGAAGATATACATAAAATATGCTAATGCATTTCATATCCGAGTAAATAAATTCAGATGTCCATCCCGTTAGCATCATTGAGGCATCAGGATTACAAAAAGACTGGGCATTGAGTGGGTAAAATTAGCCACTTCATGGCTCGCAAACAATGTAACTAACATTTGGTTACCATTTACAATTTAAAAAAGTAACCTTTACTGGGAACTGAAAAGGCACAGAATCATAGGAGTTTTGATGTGTTCATAGAATTGAGAGGCAATAGGCAAACCATTTTTCATGGCTCAGAGGATTGCTTTATTGGATCAGGTGAAGCAGTTCCTAAAGATGAGGCAATGGTGAGTGAGAAAGTTATCTAAGTCCTGTGTTAATGTACCAGTTTTTCAGATATTTAAATATTTTGGTTCGCTTGCCATTTGCTGATTGAAATTTCAGCAAATTAGTAAGGTATATGAGCAAGGGAAACACAGTTCATTGAATCTGTTGAAGGCATGTTAAATTAAATGGGCTACAGCTATAGTTCTCGCTGCAAACTTTCAAGGGCATGCACAAAAGAGATAAAAATTAAAAACTGAAAAAAAAAATTAAGAACCTAGTTAACAATTGTATATCTATATAAATGTATGTAGCATTCCAATGTTTTTGTTAGTAAGTTTTAAATCGAGCAACTTTAAACCAAAATCTAAATTAATACTGTTTTGGGCCATGGATGATGACTATTACTGTAAAGAGACTTTTTGAAGAAAAATGACCCTAAAATGCTTAAGAAAACGACTCAAAGACGCATATGAGCAATCTTGAGATGAGTAAACGGCAGAGGTGAGTTTGAAGAGAGCTCGTCCAGGCCCCGCCCCCTCCTGAAGGTAACCGCTGATGAGAACTGTCGCACACGAATCAGATTCAGGATGATGAACCGATGAATTATGCTCGAGTCAGATGCATTAGAAAGCTTGCGCGATTTAGTTGATCTAAACTAAATGTATACCAGATCCGAAAAGCTAATCCAAAGTGTGAGCACAGGCGGAGATGTTTAAGCCATGGGGCAAAATTGCCTTTGTTCCTCCAGTACAGAGAGGACTCGTGCAAACGGCTTGAGATGTGCTTAGGATCTCTGCTTTTTCAACTGGAGTGAGCTAGAAACAACACGATTCCGCAAACAACTAACAGATAACTTGTGCGAATAAGATGAAGCACTGAAGAAACGCTAAGCAGAAAGGCGTTACAGACGGGGATGTGTTTCTTGTGTGCTTCTCGAGCAGACCACATGGGGTAGAGGTATCTGGAAGTTGCAGCGCTGCAAACGGGGAGCATCACTGTAGGAGGCTCGAGACTCGCATAACACTGTCCCGCGTTCAGATGATGGACGGATTTCTGACAGAGCGATCGAAAATGACCGTGGACCACATTGGAGCCCCCTTGCAGCATAAGAACCAATTGTAATGGTTTTCCCCCTAAAAAAACATCAACTGTGTGCCGATTAAGAAGTAAGCTACAGAAAGTGATGCTGCTCGTTCTGTCTGAAGGAATGAAAATCGCTCTGGATTACAAGCCTAGTTATGATGTTCAATACTGCATGTATACATTCACTCAAGCAAGCGGGTATTTGAAAATTTGTCTGTGAAATAATCGATCGAGAATCTTCGTTTGGAGGTAAAGACTATAACAACTCAAATGGAGTTGCCACTGGTGGTTTTTACGGTAGTGTGTTGTTGGGTCTCCGTATGGTCGGACGACAGGATCATCTCAGACAGACATGCGGTCTACTGGAACAGTTCAAACTCCAGGTGAGAGTGCATGTACGCTATATGGCAAGCTAGCTTAATATTTAGGGTATATTCACACCAGGAAAGTCCGATAGTTCACTTGCTTTGGTCCGGACCAAATAATTTTTTTTTTTTTTTTTTTTTTTTTTTTTTTGTACGGTTCGCTTTCACACTGCTCTTTTTGCAAGTGAACCAAAATTTGTAAACAAAACCACACGTGTGCTAAGGTCGTCCATTCATTGGACAAGGATTCTCAAGTAGGGAAATCAGGAAGTGCAAAAAAGGCTTAACGTAAATTAAGGCAGCATCATCCTTGTATTATGTTACATTATATGAACTGCAAATGTTTTTTTTGTTTTTTTTGCATCTATGCGTGATTAGACTAAAGAAAACGCTCTGTTTGTGAATGTCCTGATGCACACACTCATTCATTCATTCCATTCCA